GGGAAAGAAAAGGAGACATATTATGTTCCCACTCTCTATTTTCCATCCTTGGCTTTGAGGTAAAAGAGCACCAAGGTTCCTGTAAAGCGAGTTAAAGGTCCTGCCAGTCCCTCTACCCACACAACAATCCTAGGGAAATCCTGAACCGTCTACTTTCCAAATCTGTAACCATATCTCTAGGCATGTCTATACAGCTCTTTCATTCACTTTCAAAATCTACAACATTTTTGAAACAAAATGACATAGTTGCATTCTTTAAATGCCAGCCATGAAATCATCACTTAAAAAAAAAGAAAAGAAACTCGTCAGATTATGTATACGTAAGTCAAATAAAATTCTTTTTTTAAGGTGCTTTATTTGGTCTGCTGAAGACATGCCTATGGCTGCTTCTAAAAGCCCTTAGGAAGAGCCTCAGATGATATCCTGCAGTTGGATATTCTGCTCCAATGTCATCAGGTTCTTAAACTACACTGTACGTATAAATTGTTTCATGAAAACCCTCCAAAATGTGCACACTAAATGCAGAGAAAAACTTCATTTATAATTCAGGTGAATTTTAGTCACACCAAAATAATGATCTAACCTGTCCAAACATGCAACTTCTCTCTTTCTTCCCCCATGAACTAAATTCTCTTCTTTCAAAAATGGTCAGATTTGAAGATCAAGTTAAAATCCACCATATTTCAAGTTAAACTCGGAGGGTTTCTATACAACTGTAGCATGATTTCGAATTCATATTGGCATTCATCTTTCTATATTTTCCTATATTTATCCTAAAGAAACTTCCTGGATCATAATATTTAGGGAGAAATTAAAAGGGTTTTATATTATACTGTGAAGTTCCAGTAAATTCTCAGTTTATCAGGGTTTACCCTTAGCTCAATGTCATACAACCTCTACATGATGCAAGTATCCCGGTAACAAGTTATTTCAAATACAAAACTCTTAGCTCTGTGTCATAAATAAATTTGGGTAAAACCGCAAGCCTTCCACTGAGTCATCTCGGCAAAGATGGCCCATCTTCTCGGCAAGAAGCAACCTAGGAGTCAAGGGATAAAAACACCATCATCCACCCATTCAGAAACACAAATGATAGTTGTTAAGTGACAAGCAAAGCCCTTGCTTACCTTTCTTTAGCCAGGAGGACAGACATTCCCACAAGCTTAGCAAACTCTTCTGATGTTAGAGATCCCTTTTCTGAAACCTAACAGAAACACACAGCAGGAAAAAATGTGATCATTTAGGCCACCTAGGTACTAACCTGGGGAGACTATCTACCAGTATACTTGGGAAATAATTTACTGAATTTTCTACTAAACTTCAAAGACTGTTCACTCTAGAACTAAATCTCCTTCACTAATGCTTAAGTCTACAAAAGTTGAAGACCCCAGAACAAACATGGTGAAGGCTAAAACATCATGAAACCCTATATAATACAATAAAGGCACTATACTAATGCCTAAAAAGAACTATTCCACAGTCTGAAAAGGAACATATAACAAATTCTAACTGAGTGCATAGTACATGCGCCACTGAAGGACCGTTATACATAGGATTAGTTTTAAATATGGTAGAAGTATCTATAGCCTTGGGACTTTCATCGAGTTTAAAATAAGAAGTATAATTACTGCGAGTTATTCAAATTATACAGGCTCACCACAGAAGCTATGAGGCGATAATATTTCAAGGATCCTAGTGAGTAGTAGCAGTTTGCCCAGTAAAACCCATCTAAACTACACTTGCTTTCTGTATATTTTGAAGCAATTCTTTCACAAAACAATTTGTAGGGTAATGCAGCTTATGTGGGTAATACTGAAAGAAAAACTTCAATCATGGGTAACACTGATTTACAAAGTTCAAAACATATTTTCAAGACTGAATTTCAAACAGAAAGAGAGCAAGCACCTCGCTCATTCTAACTCCCCTTACTCACAAGATGTTATGAGTGTTGGCAAGTTTCAAAGAGCTTTCAAAGTATAAATGTGATGAATAGTTATTCGTTGTTAATGAGAAACCATTTTCAATTGGGTCTGTGAATATTACTTGTCAGTAAAGTTGAATTTAAAAGGAAATCCTGTTTCTCAAGTTGCTAAGCATTGGGGTCTTCTGTGGCAAGGTCTAACAACGGAGGGAGGAAACCGGGTCCCCATACCGTCTCCAAGGCTGAGGCCACTGTTTCCTCCTCCTTGTGGGACTGAAGTTCAATTACCATGACGCCGCTGTCAAACACACGGAGCCTAAAAATCACAGACGGGAGGACAAAGCCGTGAATATCTGGGATCTCGGGCCCCTGAGGAAGCGCAAATATTTTTTACTTTCATTTATGCCAGGACTGAGGGCAATATTAACACAAAAGAACATTTCAAATACAATGACCACATGTCATTGTAACTAAGGCCTAATTAAAAAGCTCATGAATAAACAGTTAATGAAGTTCTGAACTATAATCTACATGCTAAATAAACTATGCCTGTCTACTTTTTGTTAAGGGCAGAGGGACTGGTCACTGTGACCACATGGGAGGAGCCCACGTTCTCACCTCTTGCCCCAGCGGCAAAAGGCCGACTACCAGCCCCTGAGGCCCCGCACAGCCCTGATAAGGATGGAAGCCGGGTTGACAGAGGTGTCCGTGGTGCCAGGTGAATTCTGCCCATGTGTGATATAAACTTCAAGAGGGGCAATATATATGCTGGTTCACCATGCAGGATGGCAGACCTGCAGGGCTGTCCTGTCTACTCAGGGTGGAATCGTGCCTATAGTTGGCAAACTTCCTGCAGAGGTTCTTTTACCTGAGAGGTAATTTCAGCTCTTCCAGCATCTTGCAGGCATTCACTAAATCTTCTGGTGAGAGCAACTAGTGGGGGAAAAAATCCAGTTTACACTGCAAATTAATAGAGTGATGCTATATAATTATAACGACCACTAAAACAGAAGAGGATATTGTAAAATTATCATGTATCAACGATTTTAGGTGGCTTAATCACTACAAGGCAAATAGGATTAACAAAGAAGCAAAAGACTTCCTTTCATTAAAACAGTACTATCCATAGAAATATAATACAAGTCATGTACGTAATTTTAAATCTTCTAGTAGCCACATTAAAAGAAAATAAACAGGCGAAATTAATTTTAATACATATATTTTATTCAACCTACTAGATGCAAAAATTCACCATATAATTGATATAAAAAATCATTAATGAGCTAGTTAACACTTTATTCTGTACTAAGTCTTCTAAATCCCGTGTGTAATTTATGCTTACAGCACATCTCAATTTGGACTAACTACATTTCAAGTTCACAGTCATCACATGTAGCTAGGTAGAGGCTAGCCTTCCAGACCACGTGGGCTTGAAGAATCGGTCCTGCGTGGTGGTGACCAGCACAGGTGTCAGTCACACAGAATGGTTCCGGAGCCAGCCCAGCCTGGGTCCCAGTCCCTGTTAAAACACTGTCTCCAAGTGCAGCCGTGGTCAAGGTACTTAATCTTTCTAAGCCTTAATGTCCTCATCCCCTAATCATCCCCTTAATGGGGACAGTAAAAGTAGCTACCTCACTGAGTTACTGGGAGGATAAATGGATAACACGTGCAGAGTGATGGTAAGTATCCACTGGTGGCGGTTATGATGACGGTTCAAATAAAAATGCAGAACAGAGGCTTAACCCGTGAGACCGGGGTGAGCGCTGGAGAGATGTGAGTTGTCTGCGTGGAGGTGACTCTGCTGACACCACAAAACTGTGTTCTACTTCAAGGGCACAGAGAGTGCACAGACAGAGCCTTGGAGGCCAAAGACAGCTGGGTGTTGAACAGGCAGTGAGAGCTGAAGTATAGCCGCTGCTGATTCTGAGCCAAAGAGGCAGGGCGGCTTTCTTCCTGTATTACCTACAGGCAACCTGAGTCCAACCAGGTTCACTCAAAACAGTTAACTATCACAGAGAAAGGGCACCGTGCACAACCTTGTTCATCACAATACAAACACAGACTCTCAGAGCTTTAAGGTATCGTTCGGACCAAACTCTTTTATTTATTTTTTTATTTTTATTTTTTTTGCGGTACGCGGGTCCCTCACCACTGCAGCCCCTCCCGCCGCGGAGCACAGGCTCTGGACACGCAATCGCAGCGGCCACGGCCCACGGGCCCAGCCGCTCCGCGGCACGCGGGATCCTCCCGGACCGGGGCACGAACCCGCGCACCCCGCATGGCAGGCGGACCCCCGGCCACTGCACCACCAGGGAAGCCCCAAACCCTATTTTAAAGGTAAAAAAACCCCTGAGCTCCAGAGAGGTTAAGGAAGCTACTCAAGGGCATTCAGCAAAACCAGTAACAGAATTTATCTCCTAGATCCCAGGGCAGTATTCTTTTCACTGCGCCACACTGCTTCTCAAAATAGTCTTGTTATTCACAACCCTTCCTCAAATTGTATTCACTGTAGGGGAATTTGTATTATATCGAGTCTATATTTAGCTAAAAGAATATCTATTCTATTCTTACTTCCATTCCTCGAGCTCGGTTTACTAAACAGTACACCTCTGTGAGCGACATTATTCCCCCTCGTTCCTGTTAAAATATAAAATAAAAAGCATTATAATTAGGACCAGTTAGCATTTCTTAACAGAAATCATAATCAGAGTGAAATCAGAAATCATAAAATCTCTTAAGAAGCTTTTGAAAACTATATTTACACACAGGGAACCTATTCAGATACCACGAGGCACTTCAAATTCCATATTTGGACTCTACTGTCATTATTACTGTTTTAACATGTACTTAAATGAAAAGAGGGGTTGTACACCATGTTTCAGTGTATTTATTTATTTTTATAAAGTTATTTATCTTTTTTTTTTTTTTTTTTTGCGGTACGCGGGCCTCTCACTGTTGTGGCCTCTCCCATTGCGGAGCACAGGCTCCGGACGCGCAGGCTCAGCAGCCATGGCTCACGGGCCCTGCCGCTCCGCGGCATGTGGGATCTTCCCGGACCGGGGCACGAACCCGTGTCCCCTGCATCGGCAGGCGGACTCTCAACCACTGCGCCAGCAGGGCAGCCCTATTCATGTTTTTTTTTTTTCCTTTTGGCTGCATTGGGTCTTCGTTGCTGCGCACAGGCTTTCTCTAGTGAGAAAGTGTCCAGTGAGAAGTGTCTAGTGAAAGTGTCTAGTGTAGAAAGTGTCTTCTCTAGTGAGAAGGTGTTCGGGCTTCTCATTGCGGTGGCTTCTCTTGTTGTGGAGCATGGGCTCTAGGAGCACAGGCTTCAGCAGTTGTGGCACGTGGGCTCAGTAGTTGTGGCTCACGGGCTTAGCTGCTCCATGGCATGTGGGATCTTCCCAGACCAGGGCTCCAACCTGTGTCCCCTGCATTAGCAGGTGGATTCTTAACCACTGCGCCACCAGGGAAGTCCCTTCAAAAAGTGTATTTAAATGCTTTAAGTTATTCCAGCTAATAACTGAAGAAACTATAGAATTAAATAATAATATCACCATTTTGCAACCCCTAATGAAGTAACAGATCTAGATAATGATTGTCAGTGGCTGTTAACATCACAAAAAAAAAGACAATCAGATATTATGTACCTCCTGATGTAAATGCTCAACACCCTCTATAAGATATTCTTGTCAGAAAAAAAAAAAAAAAGAAAGAACTTCTAGATATAACTACCAGTTTACAGGGACTACACAGGACAGGGAGGCATGGTGACTTACAAATTAGCAAAATCCAGACTCTGAGACACTCTATAAGACAAACTACTAGTTTCTTCAGTAAATAAAAATTTACTGTATGGGAGATTTATTGTATGGGAGAAGGGAAAACCCATAGAATTTTAAAAAATAAAAACACTTGAGAGAGACATCAAACATTTGCAATGTATCCTGGTTTGAACAAATCAACTATAAGAGAAAATGTGAACACTAGCTAGGTATCTGATAATATTAAAAAATTATTTTTTAACTTTTACATGTGAAAGGGGATTATAATTACACTTAAAGGTGTCTTTATCACTATAATTACATACTGAAATGTTTACAGATAAAGTGATGTGATGTCTGTGATTTCCTTTAAAACAATTTTAAGTGGAGGCTGGCTTACGGATGAAGCTGGATGATGGGCACATAGGGATTCATTACACTATTCTATTTTGTCCTATGTTTGAAATATTTCTTAATACAAATGTTTTAATAAAGCTTTGATTACCTGAATAATGACTAGAAGATGAAACTGTATTATGAAATTATTAATAATATACAATATATGAAAATACGTACAGATTATATATTTCCTTTTGAAAACAAGAGATAAGAAAAAATTATATCAAATAGATTTAGATATCTGAAATGGAAATTAAAAACAATTTAGAAGATTACTGACAAAGAATCAATGAACTAGTTTAATATTTCCAAAAGGAAAAATAACATGTTGGTTGAATAGTAACCATATCATGAACGGAGTTATGCTCTTAAGATTTCTGATGGCACAGAAATAATTTAACACAATTTAAAGAGACCGTTTAGGTTTTGTTTTTACCTCCAAAGGCGCCTGCAATATTCCAGCCAGCTGTTTGGCCAGCTGCATGTGGTACTGTGTGCCCGAGCCGTAGGTCTCCCTGGTAACTGGGTTAGCTATTCCCATGCTCAGCAAATAGGATTTAAACCTGATGGTCTATAATGAGAGGAGAAAATGCACAAAAAGACTATGCAGAATAAGTCTCTCCACCCAACGTATAAAACCCTTCCATCAGACATTCAGTTCTACTCCATTATTTCTATATCTACCCATCTCTTCTACTGTGTTTCTATGCTGTGAACTACGTAAGAGTGGATTTCTAGTACTCCCCTGCATAAATCTAATTATTATTCTTCCTTCTCCTGTCTTAGTATCTTATAGCCCATTTTCCCCCCAATTTTGGTGGCAGAGGAGACTCAGATGACAACTATGCTCTGTTTAATGCCAACCAAGTGATACAACCAAAAACTTCGTAAGGAAAATGGCTGTGACCAGACTCTAAACAAATTTAAATAAAACATATCAAAATTATGGATATGTCTAAAACAATCACTTCTTACACATTTCAATACCTCTTTTTTCTACACTCCAGGAAAAGGTATTGAAATATCCTTTAATCCTGCTAGAACTAACAAAGTTTTTCTGGTTGACTTTTTCTTTAGTACTTTCACATATCTTCAAGTCCTAAAAGAAATCAAACACTACATTAAGAAAGCAAGCTGGTAAACCACCAAAACGTCCGCATTATTTGTGTAATCTAGTTTCTAATGCCTTAAAAAAGCAACCTATTTACCTCATCTTCTGTGATGTCACCTTGCTTGTCTTTAATCTTATTAGCAATGGATTTTGATAACTCCACCATTTCCTTAGCCTGTCAAGAGAACAGTAAAAGATTGAAAAGAAATATGTCCCCAAAGTGTCTGCTAACAAAATGTATTTTCAAAAGTGTATCATAATTGGTATGAATTTAATAGATGTAAATGACATATACCTTGACCATTAGCTTGCTGAGGTCTTCAAAGGCCTAAAACGAGAAATGAGCTTTTATTGGAATCTGTCTAAAGAATTTAGATGTTTTAAAGCAATGAAGCACTCTGTCTTCTCCCCTATGATAAAAATGTATGAAATTTTCTTACAAATATCCATTTATTTATATGAATATTTATACAAGTACTTAATCTACCTTATTCTAGGAATAAACCATCAAATCTCCAAAACAAACTACAAAAAACAATTTTTCAAATTTTCAAAGAGGAAACAGTTATTGATTAAACAAACAAAAGATGACATAAGTAATAGTTCAGAAAATATTATTTACTGTTCTTTGACACAAGTAAGAAAATTTGTCACTGGTTTTTCTCCAAACCATTTCTAGATAGGAGCTCAAGAATCAAAGGTGTTGTAAAGCTTTCCTGGCTGAAAATGGTAACATGCAGCTGCAGGAATACTTCTTTGGGCCCAACCATTTTGGCTTTAATAGCAGGTGTGATTTAACTGAAAACATAAACCTCAGCCTCTGAATATTACACAGATTATACTTGTAGCCTTGACTAGAGTGGCTATCACAAAAGAAAAACATACGACCAAAACGTATCTAAATAAAACCCATCAATTGTTCAATTTACTACAATGAATATCCACTTCAAAGCCCTCTTCAAACTTAGACATATTTATAATTCATGTATTTCAAATTACCAAAAATATACTTCCAGTGCAGAATATCACCTGATATCCACAGATGTTATTTTTAAAAACCAATTAAGCAGCTTATCATTAATTGAAAACTCTTTCAATCCATACAGAACAGTGGTTAACAGGTTCTGACGGGCTGGTGCCCATCTTAATTCCATGCAGGAAAGTATCCCCCATCTGCAAAAGGATTTTGCTAAAAGAATAAAGTGTTGTGTACAATTCTCATGGCCGACTCACTGGGCTACTACCGAAAACAAAGGGGAACACACCTAACAGGAATTTCCTTAGATAAACAAAAGGCTTAAACACTGGATTCTTATCAGCAACAGCCAGCAGATGCAGGAAACCTTTTGTGGGAAACTCTGGGCACCAGCTCTGAAACTAAGGCAATTCTAACATTCAAATGGAGGGCAAATCACACACCAACCTCGCTTTCAAAACTAAAACGCAGACACTTTACATGCTTAGATTTTTACTTTGCGTGTTGTACGAACTGTTACTAGACTTCTACCTACGTGTAAAGAAAACGAGTAAGGCAACACTTTAAAATTTTTATATGGCAAAAATCACTTTATTTACTATATTATATTTTCATAGAAGAAGTTTGCTAAAAATAATAGTCTACATAGAATACATAAATTAGCCCTTACTGCTTATAGTTCCTAAACAATAAATACAAATATTTTAGTACCTTGGAAGTACCTATAAAACATTTTAAGTAATTATAAAACACAGACAAAAGCTTCCTCACTTCTATTTCTATTATTATTCTAAAATTTGGTATTAGCCAACTATCCAAAAAATGGGTGGAAAAACTACCCACAGGGCTTCCCTGGTGGCGCAGTGGTTGAGAGTCCGCCTGCCGAGGCAGGGGACACGGGTTCGTGCC